CTGAAGTAGACTTTGTTTGGGGCGATGGTTGCCTGACGTAGTGTGCAGATGATGTTTTATTGAGCTATACACTTGAAACCTGTATGGTTTTAAGAACCAATGTTACCCCAGTTAAGTTAAATGAAATAAAACAAGAAAAAAGAAAAAAATCATAAAGAAAAAGAGCAAACTTCAACCTTTCAGGGAGATCTTACAGTACACCAGGCTGTTTCATTTTATGAGTCGTCACCCTCTTTTCTCTCTGCTTCTCTCTCTTGCTCACAAAACTCACTGCCAGCCTCTCTTTGAAATGGAACTTAGTCCTGGCCGAGTGGCTCAGTTGGTTGGAGCATCATCCCATACACCGAAAGGTTGTAGGTTCGATTCCTGGTCAGGGCACATACCTAGGTTTTGGGTTCAATCCCCCATTGGGGCATGTATGGGAGGCAACTGATCAATGTTTCTCTGTCTCTCTCTCTCTAAAAATCAATAAAAACATATCCTTAGGTGGTAATTAGAAAGAAAGGAACTTAGTAGAAAAAAGGAAAAGAAGTCCTTAGCTTTGTTAATGATTCCCAGGCAAACCATTATTTAATAAACAAAAATGTTAGCTGTAGCATTGAATGAATGTTCTCAAGATGTAATGTAAACTAAGATTCACATTAATCTAATTTTCTATCCTTTTATGCCCCCCACCCCACCCAAGTTTAGACTGAGGAAAAGGGGAAATTATGCACGGAAATACAGTAACTACCTCTGAATACTCCATGAAAAAACAACAGAGAAGCAACTATTGAGGTCCATGAGTTCGTGTATCATTTTCTGCTTACTGGGAGGGCTGATGGTCCACAAAGAATTTGAGTTTCCTTCCAGTTCTGCTACTGTTATGTCTTCTTTTTCATAATTTTCCAGAAATTGCATAGCACCCTGTATGCACACAAATATACATGCATAAATAGATCATATACATGATAATGTATAAAGAAAGTTATTACTCTTCCTTTTAACTGACTGTATAGAGAGAATTTCTTCTTCGAAAGGAAAATTTCTATGCAGATTATCTTGGTGTTCCAGTGCACTGACTTCATTCTGCTCCCTATGACATCATCAAAGCCCCGTGGCGATGCTGCTCCACCAATACAGCTGTGCAATCACTCCAATTACAGTAAAGGGAAATCAGATGATTTAGTGTCATTTTTCCTTCCTACTAAGGAGAAAACTCTTAAGTTCTTAAACTATTGAGAAATGTCCCTCTTACGAGATAGTCAAATTTCATCGACCCAGGAATCCTGGCCCTGTCCTCACAGCTGCTGATCCCTCAAGATTGGTTTTGACAGTCTGCATTACAGACCAATAATTTTACAAAAGAGAAAAGCCTCTGTTTGCCTAATCACTTTTTAAAAATTAAATAAATAGTATTTGTAAAGCAAATTTTAATTGTAAAAAAATCATGTTATAATATTTATTAAAAGTTGGAACGTAGAGGAAAGGATGACATCAGCCACAACTCAGCCACCAGAACATTACCGCTGTTTTATGCAGTGGGGGATGGTATCTCATTTTTTATCATTAAAAAAAGTCTACATCTTTTTTCATTTATGTTTTATCTTGAGAAATTGTCATGCCATGTAGAGTCTTTGCAATGATTATTTTTATTACAAAAGAAGTTACAGACAACATAGTAGGTAAAGAAAATATACAGTGGAAGCCCCCTTCTCCTATTAAGACCACCCTAGGGAAGCCAGTGTTAATCAAATTCACTACACACATATGCCATGACTTACTCAACCAGTCCCTACTTGTCAAATCCTCAAGTTGCTTCCAGTTTTTACTAATACAGGGACCGACATAGTGCTTTTCCCATATTTTGAATTATTTCTTTAGGATAGATTCCCAGAGTAGACCTAACAGTGAAAAGAATCAATATCTACTAAAATATAAAAAATTAAAAAATTTTTAAAGGGATCAATCCCTGTTGAGCTTACATTAAAATGTTCTGAAATAAAATTATGTTTATTAACACATCCAATAATACAGACATAAAGTCTGAGCTTATCCAAGCGGCCAATGGCTAGGAATCTACTGTGTACAAATGATAACCTCTGAAAAGCGCCCCCTCCCCCAGGCCATAGCAAAGTAGCGAGTAACAGGACAACCACTTAGCTCACCTAGGTGATAGTCGTGACAGAGATCTAATATAAGCATTTACTTACAGTGTCCCTAGAGAAAGCTTTTATAAATTTCTTAAACTTTGGCTGGTCCATAACTTTCAGCTGGCTTTGCTGGGCACTCATTGTGAAAATAGGCTGGAAAACAAGATACGCAGTGTTGTTAATATCCCGAAGGTCTTCTCTGCACCCTGGGTTTGAAAGGGAGAAGATTTGCATAGTACATCACCCACTCAGCACCCAGGGACAACTCGCCTCGGAGGGCTCTTTTTGAAGTACTGAGTCTTGCACTCAAAGCCAGAACAGAACTCTCCTTTGACTGCCTTCTGCACTTATTTCAAACATCACACATTTGCTGAGAAGTCAAAATTTAGGCAGGAAACATGGATCGGCAAATCCTAACCAAATGTCCCGTAGGTGGTTGCCAGGAAAGGGTCCCACGTGAGGAAAGGTGCTTGCGGGTGAGTGAGAGCCGGGGAAAGTGCACAGCGATTACCTGGTAGCCCCCCAGGGTGATTGTGACCGAGACATCCAGGGGCTGGTTGATCACCCCAGCGACGGACTTGATCAAAGACATGAAGAGCAGAGGGAACCAGACGATGCAGATGAGCAGGACTATGATCATCCCGCCCATGCCGTACTTCACCACCTTCTTTTTCTTCTGCCCCCGCGGCTGGGGGTATCTCTGCAACGGGAGAGTGTACACAAGGCTCAGGCCGCCGCCCCGAGAAGCAGGTGGGCGGGTGAGCGCTCCTCATGGGCTGTGCCTCGATTTAGTCCTGATCTGCTCTGTTTGCTCTGAAGTGGGGGAGGAGCAACCTTGTCCCAACCTGGGAGCAAAGCTGGGTGGTGACGTGAAGATGTGATGAGCTCCCTCCCTGCACGTCCCCACCATGGTGCCACAAGGGACCAGCAGGACCTGAGCGACTTTCTCCCTAAAATTGCTGTGTGGGTCTTGTTGGTGCTGAACCTAAGGACAAACGGGTCCAATGCTGTGCTGAGTAAGGCCTCTGGTTTTCCGGGGTCATGCAGGAGAAAGACATTTAAATTCCTGAGTATTCAAAAGCCGTGCCTTCCAACTGAACCCTCCTCCCCACTTCGTGGGTTGAAAAACAATTTTCACTTCATTCATCACACTCGTTGTCAAAACAACATTGTTCAAGTCCTGCAATAAGATCTGTAGGATCAGCCCAGCCCCCTCACGGTGTTGTGACTCTGCAGGGACTCTTGCTTGGGCACTATGCTGAGAGGGGTGGGGTTGGGGGTGGTGGTGGTAGGTGTGTGTGTCACACAAGGGACTTGCTCCTATACAAGAGCAGTGCACTTGGTAGGCCTGGAACCACTAAGGACTCACTAAGCTCTGTCTTAGAGGCTATGGGCCAGGTGGAAGGAGCCGGCTTTGCTGTCTGGTATTAAAACTCCTCCAATTCTATATGCATATTCCTTGCTTAAAAGTTGCTTCTCAGTGACCTGTTTTCCTTCCAGGGTAAGCCTTGAAGTTAGGCTACATATATAATGTGGCAGTAGTCCTCCCTCCCCTACCTGGGGCTGATATTCCATTGGGATGTGTTCATTTCAGCAGGTTAAGGTAAGAATTCTCATTCTTACCTGTAGGCACTGAGCTCTGGGTTACAAACTAAGAGGAAGGTCTGGAAGCCAGCAGAGACTTCTCTAGGGACTTTAAAGGACACTGCTAAAGGGCTCTCCAAGCTCTGACACTGAGTAGTTCCTGAATATGGACTTGGAGCCATGAGGACAGGAGCTGGACCGGAGGACGGGCCAGAGCCAGTATGGAAGCACCATTGACTCCGTGCACGAAGACAATGGATCTAAATAACTTTGTGCTGTGAAGTTGCATGAGGCTCATACTAAGGACAGAATTTCAGTATCTATGCCCTGGAATTTGATATCATTTAAATTTTCTATTTTAAAAGAAAAGCTAGAATATTTGAAATCTGAAATACATATTCAAACACACTGATTTGATTTCCCATTATTTTCTCAGTGAGGCGAGTTCAGACAACGGGCCGCTCAGCCCACTCCAGCAGTACCCTAGTGTCCCATAATGGGGACTCTCCTGAGTTAGAAGAGACTTATCTATTCTCTGCCGAGGATTGCTTCAGTCTCTTCTGCCTGTGGTGGGACACTGTTGGTTCCTCTCCTGAAGGCCAGTGTCTTTGAGGCTCACCTCAAAAGTTCCCAGACCTCCTTTCCACCCTCCCCCTTCTCCTGCTCACCCCTCCATGCATTTCCCAGGGCAGAGCAGGGCCAAGACCTTTGGCTTCTAATTATGAGGCTATCTTTCCCTTCACTTTCAAAGCAATTGTCACCTCCTCCTGCTATGCTGTTCCACTACCCCCTTCTTAGGTAAGATCTAGTTTCCCAGTTTACAGTTCCTGTCATGCTGCATTTCCAAACAGCTTCTTAAAGTGTTTGGGGGGAAATGGCTGCATGGGAATCATTGCATTGTGTGTGCTCACACCAACACTGGCCTCTCAGGAAATTGTTGTTTCTTCATAAAGTGCATTCATAACACCCCAGGAACATATTACATTCAATATGGAATAATCCCCAAGACAGAATAGTCCCCCCCAAAAGCTACTTTTCAAAGAAGATTACTGTTCTGCTTCATACTGAAAAAGTGATCGTCACTGGTAATGTTTCAGTCTCTTACAGGAGGAAGTACAAACTAGTGTCAGGTTTGTTTAGGCTCCCTAATACTTACCTCCCACACACCTAAGTTTCTCAGGATGTTTTACCATATGTGATTTAAATAGCCATAGACTTAGCATAAGATAGAAGCATATATTTAAGTAAAGGTGATACATTAAAATGAGGCTTTTATTTCTGTTTTAAAATTTAACTTACTGGGGTGACATTGGTTAGTAAAGCTATGTAGGTTTCAGGTGTGCAATTCTGTAACACATCATCTGTATATTGTATTGTGTATTCACCACTCCAAGTCAAGTCTCCTTCCATCACCATTTATCCCCCTGTACCCTGTTCTACCTTCACCCCCCCAAACCCCTTCTCTCTGGTAATCACAGTAGTCATCATATTGTTCTCTGTGTCTTTGAGGTTTTTCTTTTCTTGCTTAATCCCTTCGCCTTTGCTGCCCAGCCCCGAACCCCACTCCCCTCTGACAGTTCTCAGTCTGATCTCTGGATCTATGAGTTTGTTTCTATGTTTTGTTTATTTTGTTCATTTCACATACGAGTGAAATCATATGGTACTTGTCTTTCTCTGACTGGCGTTTTTCACTTAGCATAATACTCTGCAGGCCCGTCCATGCTGTCGCAAAGGGGAAGATTTCCTTCCTTCTTACGGCCAACTGGTGTTCCATGGTGTAAATGTGCCACAGCTTTTTCATCCACTCACCTACTGATGGGCACTTGGACTGCTTCCAAATCTCGGCTACTGTAAATAACACTGCAATGAACAAAGGGGTGCATATATGCTTCTGAATTAGTGTTTTGGGTTTCTTTGGATATATTCCCAGAAGTGGAATTGCTGGGTGAAGCTTTTATTTCTTAAAGATAAAAGGATAAATGGATAATTGCAAGTCTTTTGTTGTGCAGAAATGTCTAGTGTTCTAGGTCAGAATGACACTGTCCTTTATAAGAAGGATGGCAATGAGTCTGTTTCACTATATCCTCAAGAAGGTTGTCACCTGTTGGCTCAAAGGCAGTAAAAAAACATATATAAGTTGATAAACAGAGCAGCCACAACTGTTCACTTGAAAGGTGGCCCTGTACCTATGTAGGACAGTTATGTGAGTTCTGATTCAGAAAAACACCCCTCTTAAGAGCCTCCAATTCATCTGGAGAAAACAATATCTCACAGTTTCTGGGGCCCGTGGGGCAGGCTCTAGGGCTTAAAATGAACTCATCTACTTTCACAGAGAACACAGGGTATTGGGCATGAATTTGTTCATTTACCATCTCTCTCCCACTTTCTGTAGGATGGCCATTCCTCTTGGCCACTACCAACTGGTTCATCCATGCCTCTGAGGCCACTGTTTCTAGACCTCCATCTGGACCTTCCTCATTTGGCTCTGATGCTAGGAATCTGTACTTTTCTTTTTTCTACTGGTCGTTTCCTTACCATCTGAGAGAGGTTCAGATCCTCTCCATTCTTAAATGACCCTCTTGACTTGTCCCTCTCTTGAACTGACTCTCTCCCTTACTTTTCCCTTGCCTTTGCTCAGTCCTTCGAAATGGCAGTGACAGGAGTGATCCTAGGCCAGTAGACCCCACTCAAACTGTAGACACACAGAATTGTGAGCAGATAAAATAGCTGTTACTTTTAAATCATGAAGTTTTGAATAGTTTATTAGCAAAAGACAACTGATATAATGCCTATTGAATGAATAGCTCCAGGAGGTAGACCTAGCACTTCCTAGCACAGTGGTTTTGCAGTGTAAAGTCTCCTCTGCGTGACTGTGTGTATGTGGGCACCTTTCAGTGATCCCCTTGTGAGGCAGCTAATCTGTGATTGTTAGAAAGAGCTTTATGTTCCATTGAAACTTACTGGAACTTTTGCTTACTTTTGTTAATGCTATTTTCTTGGCCCTTACAAATTAATTCAAATTTTAATCTCTCTTCCAATATTTCAAATAGTTTGCCTCCCCCATTTTTTTTTTTTTTTTTTACTTCAGACTAAATAATTCTTGGTTCTTCCTCCTTTTTTTCATATGGCATTATTTCCAGATCCTTTGTCACCCCGGTTTCTACCCTCAAAGTCCCTTTGGTAGATTGGTTCTCATATTCAGTCATTGTATCAACCCTTTTGCACCTTAAAAATCAGGTAAAGCTGATATGATTTTAAGTATACTGCTTGCCCCATCTCCTTCACTCCATACAAACGCCATAAACACAGAGGCCACAGTACAACAGGCCCCATGACTGCAAAGCTAAGATTCCCAGAGGAAACTGCAGAACACAGAAACTACACGGACTAGGGGGGACTTTTCTGAAGAGATGAGAAAAGACATTTCACACCGCCTTGGCTAACGATGCTTGAGTACTTCTATTGCTGTTATGCAATGGGCTCCTGTTCCATATGTTAAACTTGAGAATCTGATAATATTCAACCTGGCAGAATAATTATTTGCACTTCAATTTCCTTTGCACAGAGCAGTTACACTGTCTGCTCCTCATCAAAGAGGACATCAGGTGCTGAGCCTGAGTCCAAGCCACCTGACCCCACTTTTCCCCACCATAGCAAATTTCCTCCTGTCCCCAAATGAGCCATTTAAGAATTATTGAGTCACACAGCAATAGATCATTTCTTCTTTTAAAAATAACTACAATACACAGTTGCCAAAAGAAGAACACATCTGGATGCTATTGCTAAGGCAGCAGTGTGTCCAAAATTCCCAGCTCTAGTGGCGTGAAAATCAATAGGACGTTTATAGGTCCTAGTTTTTGCCACAAAACTTGCAGAAGTTCGCATTAATCTTATAACCAGTCTGTATCTAAGAGAAACAAATAGGGATAAGGCATTTTTATTGGCTTACTTTTTCCGACTCTCGCCAACACTTCAGGATGAATATGTGAGCATAGATGTCCTCCACACAGATCCAGCTGGAAAGGCTCAAGGTCGTGTCTGTCCACACCCAGTCCATCACGGCCCGCAGCTCAGTCAAAAATGGAACGAGGCGGAACCTGGCAGAAACCACGTCTTGTTAGAGAGACAGTTCTGGGATGGCCTCCAATATCCAGCCAACCCTGGGAGCTCATGTAGTTCTTTATTGTTTTAGCCCTTAGGTGTTAGAAAAAATTCTCAAGGTGACCTTTCTGGTAAAATCCAACTTGGAATACAACTGCTTTTCATTATAAGTCTAATAAATGAATTGGTATTTTCGGTTCCTTTTCTTTTTTTTGGCTGATGGGTCTTAAACCAGGATTCCCTTTTTAAATGTTTATAGGTGTCTTCTTCAATTCCTTTCATGAGAAACTGTACAAATTTTTCAGGTCTTTGGTTAAATTTATTTCTAAGTATTTTATTGTTTTTGATGTTATTGTAAATGGGACACTTTTTATTTTTTTCTAGATGTTTCATTGTTAGTGTATGGAAACACAACTGATTTCTGTATGTTGATTTTATATCCTGCAACTTTACTGAATTAATTGACTAGTTCTAAAGTTTTTGGGGGCAAGTTTTTAGAATTTTCTATATATACAAAATCATGTCATCTGCAAATAACCACAATTTAGCTTTTTAAAACATTTATTTGTTCATGTTACAAGAATCTGTTGGTCATAGGATTACTGAATTGTTGGGGCTTTGTTGTTGAATGAGCTAGGAAAGTTAATATACTTGGTAAATGAAAAATTGGGGCAAATGAGAGCCATCAGAGGAAACAGGACATGTCATTGGGGGCACACAGTAGGTCCCACAGCTGGTAGACCTACTAGATGACTAAAGCTAACAGGAGGAACTGGGTTCATCCCAGGGTCCTCACAGCAGCCTGAGTTACTACTTGGATTTCTCCTGTGGGCTACCTAGCTTTGTTGAGAGAGCATTAATTCAATCCAGAGAAGAAATATCAGGCCCCCACACAGGATGACACTAAGTGAAACACTGTTCCACACAGGGAGGTTCATAACATCTGAGCATGCTCAATACCTCTTTTATGACTAAGTCCCCAGTCCCCAGGTCTGGTGCTAAGTAGGAACCAGCCATGCCAGGAGAAGACCGACTTTTATGTCATGCTCTAATTTCCAAGGGAACAGAGAGGAGGTGCTTCCAATGAAATTCTCACATGGAAGAGCTATACGCTTTCTTCGACAGCTAACTTACCACCAGGGATAAGCAAGTCATGTGGTATTCCCATTGTTAGGGGGACTAAATGGCCCCATTCAATGGATGGACTTATTGTACATGTAAAATTCTAAAGGTATTTTGGAATAGTCTAGGTTCGAAATATTCTGTTCCATGGTGCCTGGAAGTATATTAATACTTGAGGATCATGTATGCCAAAATATTATCACAGTAATTATGCAAGATATGGAAATAGAAAATTAACCCGCATGGATGGTCCTAGAACAACATCCTGGCCAGATGTGTGGCAACTACACATAGAAAGATATTTCAAAAAGCATGTCTGTTCTTTTGCTGAACGCTGCAAGACTCCCATGATGATCTACATTCCTATACATCAGAGTCCTTCCTCTTCCTGTCCCTCCCAGGCAAGAAACAAAATGCCTTCAACTGCCAGCCTCCCCTCTGCGAGTGACTGCCAACTTAGTGTGTCCTTACCCTTGAAACAAGAAGAGGTTGACGTAATTGTAGCTCTTTGTGAGGAAGTTTCCAAGCACTCGGGTTGGGTAGCCGCACCGGATTTGGTAGGCAGACAACCCGAAGTAAACGCATTTCACAAAGTACCAAAGCTGAGCAACCAGGTTCTGGCTGAATTTCCTAAAATGTAAAAATTCAGAAAGGTGAGGGATGGAATACTCTTCTGGTTAAAGAATACCAGTTTAGGATTTTTTTTTAAAAGCCTAATTGCCCCTCTAGCATTTAAGTCAATTCAGTCAATTCTAAGGAATTCACTATACATAGTTGATCACTTCAAAGGCAAAAGGCAAGATAATAAAATCTAATAATTAAAAAAATCCTATGAATGGTGCCTCTAAGACAGGAGCAGGGAACGTCAGGCCCACAGGCTGTATCATTTGGTCTGGCCCTGCCAAGACAACTGCACGCAGGACTCTAAATTCAATAAATCTAGGAGTTTTTTTTCATAGCTAATTTTTAAGTTGATAATTTTGTATGGCCTGCGAATGATGTTATAAATATCCAAATGGTCCTTGGCAGAAAAAAGGTTCCCCACCACTGCAGTCTAAGATATCAGTGCATTAATTCAGCTCTTTAGGCCATAATTAAAATAAATTACTGTTAAGTAAATTTACTAATAACATTTTCACACAACATGGATGCTGCTGCTACCCTGGTCCAAATTAAAGCTCAACAAAGAAAAAAAGCAAAATGTACAACCATAGTTTGAGCAAAAACAGTGGAACTAAATTTCACACTAGAGAATAATTTGGAACACATTTTCAAAGAATGATGAGCTATAGGAACTTTTTTTACTTTGGATAAATGTAGCATTCTTCAAGAGTCTTAAATATAGTCAGTGCAAATTTTTAAAAGACAGTAAGATATAAAACTTTAACTTTGCAATACCCAGGTATAATCTTCCCTGTGTTTAAATTAAGAGAAATATTTGATTTACTTTTATAAAAGCAGTATATTACTCTTAACATTGCATTTTGGATTTGTCTTAACTTTTAATATTGTTATTAGAAAAAACCATCTGTTATTTTTTTAATTGAAAATAGCTATTCTTTAGTTGAAAAGATCTAAGAACAAACCATGATGCCCTGGCCTGTGTATTTGGGAGACCTAGGACCTCTACAGAGATCTCAGCAACTTGAGAGCTCAAAAATATTGCTTATGAATGTCTCCCTTACAGAAAAATCCAACTTTGGTATTTCAGGACCTAATGAATTAATTTAACTATATTCGACCATGATCTACCACTTGACAAGTTATCAATAAAAATATCAGATATTTTACAGAGACCTCACATCTTCTAGAAAGAAATGCAGCCTGTACCTGGTGATTTTGCTGTGCTGATGCATATGGAGCGATAACCTTACGAAATACATTTGTATTTAAATAGGCCCATGGCTCCAGTTTCCAAAGCCCTTACCTCTCAGTCACACCAGGCAAGATGAAGAACATCCAGAAGTGAATTCCAAACACAAGAATGACCTGAAAAATGACCTTTCCCAACACAGTCTTCCTGAGGTACAGTGCTCGGTCCACCACCATGGTTCCAAACTGAATGAGGACCATCACCAGGAATGGCCCAGGCACCTGGTCCTCGGACAGCGAAGAGGTGATGTCTGCCGCTGCTGAGTGTTTCTGGGAAGGAGACAACAGGTTCGGGCCTGAGCGGCATTTCATAGGACAGCATCACCATTAGTTAGTCATGGGATGTATGGTGGCCTTTACCTACCCCAAAGGCCCAAAAGCCAAAGACGATGATGATGAAGTCCACAGTGTCAGCCAGGAACATAAGCACATACACGTCGGTCACGGCGCTGTAGTCCGGGTGGATGAGGTTGTAGAAGAACTGTCTGATGGGCACATATATTTGCAGAGTCCTGCAAAACAGAGACCCCAAGCCGCTTGTTTCAGGAGAGGCACAGGTGGAGAAATGACCAGCTCCTACAGTCATTCTGTTCCCTGCATTCCTCTTTCCAAGCAGGTTGGATCTCCCTCTCTCAGCCTCAGCACAGTCCTGCTGGGAGGTGGCTCCTGCTCTAACAGAGTGTATTCAAGTTCACTGCCAAGGTAGGACCACAGACCTTTTCTCTTGCCTGATAGGTATCAGAGTGATATAAAGCCCTGAAATTTAGGCACCTGGTTTGTCACCTGATTCAATTACTCTCCATCTTCGAGATCTTGAGCATGCTACTTAACACTCCTTGTTTTCATTTACTCTTCTGTAAAATGAAAGTCATAATAAGACCTGAAGCATAGGGCTGGGGTGAGAAATACATGGGAATACACAAGGTGCTTAGACCTGAAGTGCTGACCAGGCACCTGGTCATCGTTAGGCAGCCCTTCTGGGGTCCTGGGCCTCTCCTCTCGTGGTTCCCAGGTAGTGCCCTGGGCTTTTGAGCTCACCTTGCTCTGTCCTTTGTTACCATGTCCTCCTGGCTCTGGCTCATCTGTCCAGCCTCTGCCTTACCTTTACTGTGCTCTGGGTTTTGCCTTCAGTTTAAAGCCGTGTTCAGGTGTGGATGGCCCTCCTGGTCTCAGAGCCCATCTTCAGGACCAGCCCTGCTACATGTCCTCTATTTTGCCTGTTTATCTGCTGCCTGTCTGCAGCCCTGACACTTGGGAAGAACCTATGCATTTTGCTGGGGACCAGCTATATGACAGTGGCCAAACCATTTCCCCACCACGTGCCTCAGTTTTTCCCTCTCTGGGATGAGAGTGTATGTCTAAGTCTCTTCCAGCTCTGAAAGCAAATTCCTCTCTGTCTAGCAGACTTTTCCATGATAATGCCTGAAACTACATACTGTGAGCTTCTGAAATTCCTTATTTATCGTGTTCAAATAGAAAATGTGTGTTTACAAATGCAATGAGTATAAAAATAAATCACACTTACTGAAAAGTGATTTAAAAAAATTGTTATTTTTAATAATGGCTCATATTTTCCTGCCTTAAGAAGATGATATTTGTGATAGGAGAAGCCACTTCTCTGTTCTTCACCTCTGGTGTATATGAAATAATCGTTATCAATTACTTCCCAAAGTTCCTCAGCTCTAAGCTAAACCCATGACCCAAGTGTGTGCATGCACTCACTTCTTTATGGTAAATGCTTTTGCTTTGATTAAATGTTCTTGAAGCTTTTCCATATACAGTTCCCTTTTGCTTCTCCGCTTGATGCTCAAAACGCTGCTTCCTTTTTGACTGCTGTTCCGGGTGCTCGTGCTGCCTGGGAACAAAAAGCCACGGAGCACAGTGAGGTGGGCTTACCGACAGGCCTCGCAGCAGCCCCGGGAGCCCACGTGGCGAGGGGCGGCTTGAAACTGCTTCAGAAGGAAGAACACGCCCGCCTGTAAGGGCCGCGGCTGGAAATCTGGAGCTGCTGTCTCAGCTGCGTTTCTAGTAAGACGCATCTGTGGGTTTGTACTCCCGATGCTGACTCTGCCCTGAATCGTTATGTGATCTTTGTCCCAGGAACAACGGCTTTTATTGCGCTAAACAGGGTCCTAGGTTGCAGGCTTTTCAGCTTGGGTCCACAACCCATCCCTTTCTCATGTCCTAATTTCTCTAACTGTAAGATGCATATAAGAGGGCCTCCCAGCACCCGCCTGAAAGGCATATTCTGAAGATGATTACAGTCATGCGCCAATCAACAAGACGTTAATTGGGGATAGGTTCTGAGAAATGTGTCACTAGGCAATCTCGTGGTTGTGCGAACACATGAGTATGCATAAATCTAGATGTACAGCCTACTATACACCTAGGCTATATGGTATACCACCGTTCGTATATGTGGTCCATCACTGACCAAAAAGTCATGCAACACACGACTGCACGCAAGTGTTTGGTAAGTTTCAGACGGGAGTGCTGTAAGTGCAAACGCCCAGTTACTCCTAGCATGGCAACTGCAAGGCGTATCTACTTTCTGATTGTACTTCCTATTTAGTAAGAAATTAATAAATAGGTGAGGAAATTACTAGATTGTGTGGCTAAAAGTTCCCATCGAGAAAATCTAAGTATATTTTTGAAATAGTGATTTATAGCACTCTCAATACACCCAGCAGAATCTGTGGATATGGTTTTAAAACTACTGTGTGCCCAACACTTATTAGGTCCTAGGCAGTATGCTGGCCACTTTTCACAATTATCTGAAATTCTCATCCCAGAAGGAATTGGACATTTGGAGCAATGTGACTGCCCCAGGACACACACACAGCTGAGCCAGAATTTGAATTTGGGTCTGTCTGATTTCAAAGCACTTTCTATTCACATCACAACATCTGTCTCCTTGGTAGCACTCAATAAACTCCCTGCCCCAGACACACTGGCATCAGAAAAATGAGACAGCTCAGCGGGTATTTCCAGCCCAAGGATACCTCTTTGAGACCGATTTGAAGAGAAGCTGGATCTGTGGGATATCTGGGAGCTGCTGCCAGAGCGCTTCCTCCGGACAGCCGTCTGCTGCTCAGGGAAGGACACGTGCACCGACTCCGTGGACGCGGCTAGGTTGATGGATTTCAGAGAATCGGAGGAGGCCCTTCTGCCATGACTGAGGGACAGCTCATCATCTGACTCTTCCTTGTCGGTGCCACTATCGGTAATGTCATCTTCATCCCATAAGCCATGGCACTGAGAAAGCATGGGAAGGGACGATTCAGATTTCTGTTTCAGGTTGGGAGCTGGTATTCTGCCCTACAATATCTTATCCTCCAAGATTAGAAAACCAAAGGCAAAACAGAGTGACTATGTTTGATAACACTGTGTTATTATCTGTTGTTGTGTAACTGAAATTTGCAAAGAGAATGGAACTTAAATGTTCTCCTTAAAAAACAAACAAATGTGAGGTGATGAATGTGTTAATTAACTACATGGGGGAATCTTTTCACAACGTATACATTTAGGTAATCACCACGATGTACAGTTTAAATATTTTATAATTTCATTTGTCAATTATACCTCAATAAAGCTGTAATTAAAAAAAAAAGATTTGAAAGCCAAGGCAGGGGAGAGATTCTAAGAAAGTTTATTATGTATAATTATATGATGGTCCCAGTAGATTGGTGATGGGTGGGTGTACATGGTAAAAGTTTGGCTAATTAATTTAGATGGAGACAAGTGATGTTTGGTAGAAGGGGAAAAGACAAAATAATAATCCCTTGACTTGTTCCTTGAGCAGAAGCTCTTTCCAGAACACTTCTCTACGCTTACGACCAGCCTTCCAAGTATCAGCTTGAAGTATCAGTGGGTGAATTTAGCCCCATTGCTCCATGTTTACCAAGTATCTGCACTTGAATAATGATGCTGTCCCTCCCCAAGCCTGTAAAACACAAGGTGTGAATCCCTGAACCAGCCGTGGCTGACTCAGAGCAGAGCTGCAAATACTCTACTCAGAAAATGTTGGCCCGCACGTGAGACAGAGATTACGATGCATTCTGCAGAGCCTGGGCTTTGCTAAAGGAAATGGGACACAGGGGCTGATAGAGGCAGGAACGGCGGCAGTAAAGGAGGCCGAGGACGCAGGGCCTTGCCAGAACAGGATGCTACCTGACCACAAGTCACCCTCGCGATGACCTTGCTGCTGCTGGACAGAGCTCCCCAGCGAGCTCACTGCCTCCTGGGTGCCCAGACGCCAGGCTCTGTGTTTATTCCCCAAGACCCTGACCAGTCCTCCCTCTGACACATACTTTGGGGGATGAGAGCTACAGACCAATTTGCCAAACGTCAGTTGGTCAGAAACCGACTGAGAGAATAATTAATTCATCGAAAAACAAAGTCATCTAATTTACAAATTATTCTTAAATGTTTACTATTTTAAAACATATTAAATGAATGTAGTCTTATAAACAAACATTTTAGGTGTTCATAATGGAATTTTTCAGTTTATATTGACTTCTTTCAAATCATTTTAAAAATTGTTTTGTCTTTTGCCAACATTTTAACATATATTTAGATTCTTTCCCTACTTTCTTAGTGGTATATTTGTTTGTTAATTCTTCTAATTATTTATAAAATTGCAGCAATTAATACTAAATAGGATAGTTTTAACCACTTTTCAAATTCCTACACAGTTTTCATTGTTTGGTTTCCACAGCAGTATTCTGTAAGAGTTTTTTTTTTCCCCCATGAAAAGATTTATCATTCCAAAAAGTATATTTCATATCATTATCCAAAATTTCAGTATAATACCAGTAGTACCTCAAATCTCATATACATTCAGTAGGTAAATAAAATTTTTAAAGAAGAAATTAGAGTAAGTATATCAACATAAAACACCAAAATTTTGTTTATTGTACATTTTAAGTATAAAATTGTAGCTGTTAAACCATTTGACTACTGATAAAAAACAGTAAAAGTACCTAAAGGTTTATAAAAAATTTTAAATGGCATGCAAAAGGATACAAAAGTTGCAAGATAACTATAAAATCACCAAAATTATACCATTATGTTTTAAATGCTGAAATTTTAACTAATTTCTAGAACTAAAATATAAGGTTAATATATTAATATAATCATAACAAGAATTAGTAAAGTGGATTAATACAGAAAATTAACATATACATCAGAAAAACTGGAGATTTTGGGCAAATTCAATTTTGGTTAACTGGTTTCCTTAAATAAGGTACCTTTGTAAACCTACCACAACCCAATAACCCAGGTAAGGCTACTGCAAAGTGAAAGGTTAGGGACTTGGGCACTTTGCAAGGTGACAGAAGATAGAATAAAGATCTTGACCGAAGCTATACACAGGTGAACCAATGTGAAATAGTCCACTAAGTACAACAGAATTTGAACACATTGTTACATATATATGTCTGCATGTATGTATATGTGTGTATATGTATTAACTTAGGTCAAGCCTGTTCTAAATAAGAACGGATAAAGATACTAATTGATAAAATAAATTTAAAACAAATTTAAATGTTTTATAAATGGAGGCAAGGTTAAAGTAAGAGAAGAAAAGCTAAGGTTGTGACAATATGCACATCAATACATAAAATGTATGCTATGCAATAGTTTCTAATTTTTATCATTGAGTGGCATATTTTACATATTTGTAAGCTTAGCTTATAGTTCATAGTTGCTCAGGAGGATGACCAGAGTCACTAAACCTGAGACAGGTCATCCTGTGGGCAGGTCTTCCCAGAGCAGTGTGATAAATGGCTTTCTCAACAATAAGCTTACAGGAAACAAAGCACAGCACTGACTTCACCAGACCGTTAAATGTGTGGTCTCTCACTAAAGCTAATGGTTTCATGACAAGAAACTACTCAATAAAAGCAATGCTACTAGAAGAAGGTAGGCAGAAGTTGGGATGGAAATGAAAAGCAAAATGATCGACTCCAGATTGTAGCTCTTTAATATTCTGGCTTAAACTAGAAGTAAAATTTAGTCTAACAGGCATTAAGCTATTGTAAAACACTCATGCAATTCCCACAAATGTGGATTATTATATGTTCAATCCAGAGTAGAAATATGGTGAAATTTGCTCCCAGATTTGTTGTAAGTTCCATTATTGAGCACAGAGTATTGGAGAAAATGTCCACGAAATGAATATAACTGTTTTTAAAAAAGCATACAAGTAGATGCCACCCACTGGCCCCTCAGGACTGTCACCAATCCTAATGTTCATATTCTCTAGGACTAGTACAGGGACAGCAAATACCAACACGTGCTGGCTGTTAACATGCAGTACCTTCAAGATTGATCGATGGAAGAAAAGAGCCAGGAGCTGAATGAGGTCATAAAGAACATAACCTTCTTTCTTTTCCACACCTATAATATTAGGTGGGTGGTAAGGTTTATCCTTGTGCAATTCCACATGCTTATTCCAGGGGAAAAACCCAAATTGGAAGAAATACTTGACCACAATTGTTACCTACACATGGAAGATAGAAATTAAAAAAAAAAAAAATCCTTGTAAGAATAGTTATATAGGAGAAACAGCAATATAAAAAACTAAGAAAAATCCACAGTTTTGAATGATAGAAATGCACACAATTATGTGGAACAATTACATTATCATTCCTGCAGACCATTGACTTCAGAACAGGAGCTAAATCTTACCCTCGGGAGTGCCTTTGATCGTAGGTATATCAGGGCCAGTCAGGTTACTCGTGATGTGACATTGCTTAAATAATTTCCTCTATTTCTGAGAAGTAGGCTAATTTATTCTGATTTAATTGATACATATATAATTATCCAGCTATTAATGTATGGTAATTAGGACACAAGAACAGAATAATGTCCTTATATTTTATGTATTGCTTTCATTTGTCATCTTTATGAACATATCATGCAGTTTTAATGTATACATCAAATGTATACATTTTTCACTTTACTCCAATCTCTTTTCTTCTCACCCCTTTATTGGTCACTGGAATTTTTTCTCAAGAAGAAATAAAAGTAAATGAAACAAACTGGCCAGTTGTGCTGGTATAAGTGTATAAATGTAAAGACTGTTAAGTAGATTATTATATAACTTTGTGGTTTGATGTGTGGAAACTGGCCTAAGTTTAAAAATGGGACCACCCAGCTGGGCATGGCCCAGCGGTTGAACATCGACCTAGGATCCAGGCGATTGGGGTTCGATTCCTGGTCAGGGTACATGCCTGGGTAGCCGGCTGCAGTCGATCAATGACTCTCTCATCATTGATGTTTCTATCTCTCTTTCTCCCTCTCTTTTCCTCTCTCTGAAATCAATAAAGTTATATTAAAAAAAAAAAAAAGATAACTGCCTAAGTCACAATTCTTACATTGCAGATCTCCAAGGATAAGAGAACAGAACAGGGTTAGGGAGTAATATTAGTGTACAAATTGAAAATTTTTGTGAAGAGAGATGATAATTAAAAGCTCCAAGATACTTAAAANCTCAAAGGGCTTACTGTGTTGTTTAATTCAGCATCTATCCATTCACGAAACATTCCCAGGCCCCAGGCACTATGCTTGGTTCTGCACAGCCCTGCTGTTACTCAGTGGTTACTATCACAGGACAACCAGCTTCAGGAGTCTGCCCCACCACTCACCAGCTGCCTCACTGTGGGCCAATGATTTAAGCTTATTAAAGCTGGTTCCTTATGTATTAAATAGACATGATATTAGTACCTATCTTGTGTGAGCTGTGAAATGTAAAAAGACACACAAAATTACCGGCACTAGGTAACTTAGTTATATTCATTTGTGTGTCTAAGAATATCGGTAGAAGGGACGGTTCTGTGTGGAACTATGTGGGAGTCGGGGCGGCCCCCCTGGAGTGAATGCCCCCAGCAGCTGGCAGGAAGGTTCCCCGCGGGGCCCACCTCTGTGTAGACAATGGCCATCATCCAGAACCGTCTGCTGGGCCTGGGGACAGACAGCATGGCCCAGAGGAAGATCAGAATGGGGAGCACGAGCGTGATCATGGAGGCGGAGACCATGTGGTTCAGGATGATCACGAAGTAGCAGACCATTTCGGAGCGGGCCACCAGCGTGTTGTACATGGCGTAGAACAGCAGCAAGAAGCGGGGCTGGTCCACGTAGAATTTCTCCGACTCTTCCAGCTCGTCGTCGTGGAACATCCTCAGAGGATGAAACGGCAATGCATGTGTCTTAAGGTCTCCAAGTTCCCACTTCCCATGTTGCACGATCCTTCCTGTCCTTCCCCCTTCCTATGTCCCCAGGTTTCCCGTGGGAAACCCCAATTATATTATCGCAGGAAGGGATGCGAGCAGCGTCTGTGCGGCGCTGCCGCGCGGGGAGAAGCCCCGCAGCTGGTTCTGCAGGTGCAGAGCAGGCGCCTCGACGCCCGTCTGTTCGCCGTGGGCACTGGGGGC